ACTGCAAGTTTTAATTCAAACAGCTACTGCAGCTCACAAAAGTAGCAAGACACAGCTTCTGCTGTACTTTCAGAAACACATCAGCAGAGGGAAAACAGGTAAGTAGGAAAAAGCCATGATCTAGGCAAGCACGATAAATTTTCAGGAAGCAGGAAGAAATAAATTGGGAGTTCAGGTCTTTTGAAAGTAATTCCTATTTTTTCAGTAATATTTATATTGGCTCTGTGTTCCTATCTTTCCAGTCAAAATTCTGTTTCTCACCACATGATGATGTATTTTAACATAAGGCCAAAAGGGATTCATATTCCAACTAAAGCAACATAGATGTGCACATTGTATACACATGATTTGCCTTCAGTGGGGCTGCCCAGAGAAAAACAAGAAAGTTTCAGATCATTGCAAGCAGATGTGGTGTCAATCTCAATCAGCTCCTAGAGCAGAAAGGGAAACCAAGCTCTGATGGGCAGCAATCTGCAGTAGGGAAAAGGGATTCCTGCTTGGAAAGAGAGCACAGTTTACATCCCCTATGGAAATTCACATATTCTGCTATGGGAATAAAACCTGCCTCTGATGCCAGCTCTTACATGTCCTCTTTGGCCACCCATGACACTGGAAGGACAAGCAGATGGGGCAGAAGCAGATTCAGCAGCACTGGTTAAATTGGCTGCTTCATGTGCGTCAAGACCTTTAGTTAGGGTAGATGTGCCCCAGGGAATTGCTGATTTCAGTATAATAACCCCAAACTGCTCAGAAATGCCAGGAGAGGCTGCCTTACCCATAGCTTCACAATGAAGGTGTCCTGGATTTAACCTTGATAACCTGGAGAAGGTTATTTGAAAGTTTGTTGCAGAGAGGCTTGGATGTCCCAAAAGAGCTGGAGCTCAGTCACCATCTTTGCCCAATTTCAGGAGCTGCTGCTCAGCAGAGATGATTCCTTAGGCACTTGATTTACCCCCGAAGCTGGATAAAAACCACTTACACAGAGATCAGGCTTATACTGCCAAGAACCGTTCTTGGTTACTTTGGAGAAATTAGTACCTCAAGGAGAGTAAGATCCCTTAGGAAAGGAACTTATTTTTCATTATCAATTACATTTGTGCTGGGGCTTTCCCAGCATAGTTTTATTGGTAAGGATTGGTATATTTTCTTTTTTTTTTTCATTTATTTTTTATATTTTTTAAGTAAGAGGAAAAGACAGCTTTGCTGTGTTGAAAAGCTGCAACACAGACCGGTGCTGACTGAAGCAGCGGGTGAGGATGGAGACGTTAAAAATGAGTGAGCACTGCAGAAAGCATTAGTGATTTACATGCAAAAGCAAACTTTACCTATATTGTATTTATGTCCCTAAACCGTTTTTTATTCCCTGGGAATATGTGAGTTCCCATCTCTTCAAAAGGAGGAGTTTGTTTTCAGTGGCAGTTCTTGGAACTGGAACACTAAGTCTGATGCCAACTAAAAAATTGATATGCAGAGGGTGCACCCTGCTGCTTTCCAGTTACTTGAATTCTTACCCTGGAGCTCTGGCTGCCTGTGCTTTTCTGGGAAACAAATAATCACATCAAACCTAAGGGATTTGTTTGAAGACAGATTTGAGGGTTCAAGAACGCTTTTGTTTAAATGGGGCCTCAGACAGAAACTGGAGATCCTTCATGTTTAAGTTGCTCTTTGAGCAACGGAACAAAGTACAGTTTCCTAGACTCCTCTGTCCCATTTCCTTTCCCTTCCTTTCTACAATAACCTCTGTCTCCTCATGCTTTTCCTGAGGATCTGGTGATGCTGACAGCTCCTGTGTCCCCAGCCCCGCCACACCATCCACCTCCTGTGTCCCACAGACTGCATGCTCTGGCTGGCCAGTTCCAATCACCCAGAACACTCCAAACAGTGTAAGGAACTGCTGAGCACGTTCTTGTTTCTTTCTGGAAGGAGGGCATGATTCCAGATCTTTTCCCTCTATCCAGAAATCAGGTTTTATTACAGAAACTACAGGAACTCAGCCTGCAGATTTAAAAGAGGAGATAAGCAAGGTGAGTTTGTAAATTTCCTTACCCTGAGAAATAAGGTTAACAGGGAAATGTAGCAGCAGTTTTAGTTAGAACAATTAAACTTGAAACGCAGACCCCAAGAGAAGGGGTCTCTGTCTTCTGCTCTGCCTTGTGAGTTTAGATGAGCTTGTCTCTTGCTGCATTTTAATTTTTCTTTTAACCTAAGAGGACAAGCAGAATGGAGTTACAAATTACTCCAACTACAATTAACTTGCAGAATACACAGAGCTAATCTTTGCATTGCCAGCACCGATACAGGCAAGAAAGCCTTTCTCAGACCAGGTCCTGTGTGCCAACAGTTCTGGTCAATGATTATCCCTTGCAAAAAGCTTGTGACATACTCCCTCCAGTCACCTGTTTACATCCCAAATGTTCTCAAGTTCTGCTATTTCAAGCTTAACTCTTGTGACCCTACTCAATGATATTCAATCCAAGTCTCTTTACCATATCCTGCAAGGCAAACAGCTCAGTTTTAGTAACCAGTGCTATGTCATGCCTGTGGTCAATGACTCTAAGTATGCCCACACCCATATGTTTCCTAAATTTGGATGTCTGTGATAGCGAACACCAGGGTCTGGGTGGGCAGTCCTGTTTCACCAAAGAAGAATTTGGGGCATTTTTGCTCTTTGAGCATTCTCTTTCACCTTCTGAGCATTTCCTGGATGAATTCAGATTTACTAGAAGATATCAGCTAAGCAGGATGAGCAAACCAATTGTGACTCCTGCAAAACGTTTCTAAGAGGTGGATGAGTCAGATAACAGATCCACAGAGCAGAAAATATCCACCCCCTACAGCAGCCAACTGTCAAAGCTTACAGACAGTATGAAAACAGGTCAAGTATGGAGTAATATTTCTCTTAAATACTCCACCAGACCCAGTGGTTTGTGGCTCAGGGACTTCCTGAAGCAGAGATGCTATGTCTGTGTGTAATAGCCTGGACAGACTTTTCTTCCTGATATTTCTTCAGTAGGTTCTTGAACCCAAACATTTTAGTACTCACAGTGTCCTATGGAAATAAGCTCCTCAGTCTATGTGTGAATTGTCCCTCTTTTTTATCCTGGCACTTTCTAGGCCACTTTCTTTCCTTTTCAGTCTTTGTTCACTCTCCATGCCAAGTTTTGTAATGAATCTCTAAGACAGAGAGTGAGCAAGTCCTACTCACAACTTAACTTCTGGTCTCTTTTGGAAAATGCTCTGATGTTTTATCCCAGGGAAGCCAGTAAGTATGTGACCAATTTTTATCCCAGTACACTCATACACATACACATCACCTTTGAAAATTCCCTCCCAGCAGCATTTCTGTATTGCAAAAGGCACAGGATTACTCCTGTAAAAACAAATTATCATCATCAGCTCAACTGCATCCTAATTTGTACAATTTTTCATCTGTTATGAGACACTGGTGGAGCTTATCTGAAGTGCTGCTATCTCCTGGCATGCTGACATTGCACAGGATGCAGAAAATTGGTGATTCCACAGTGTATTACCCTGACCTCAGCTTTGCACCCCATTTATGCCTGTTTCTGCTCTTGCTCCAGGCCATCCATGTCAAAGGTGAGGTGTTGCTCAGTCCAGAGGGCACTCAGCAGGGGCACAGGGAAGGAAGGGATGTGAACCTCCTCCAGTTCAGGGAGCTGGTTTAAGCACAGCTCTGCACATTACTGTACTGGTACAGTGGAGAGGAAACTGTTCTGAAGGAGAGGCAAGAATAAGTGGTTGGGGGCAAGGAGCCAGAGGAATTTCTTTAATTGGCTTTTTCCCTGCATCCAGCACATTCTGAGCACTGTCAGCAGAGGGGCAGAGCTGAAGATGGCTAACAGCTCTGAGGCTTGCCATGCTCTGACTGGACAGATATACACATATTTCTCCACAAATTTCTCCAGCATTCTCGTGTATACCCTTTCTCTGTTCTGACTGATTTATAAGCATGCTTGCATCTTGATCTAGAAAATACCGAATGAGCTGTCGTTAACCCCTCCAGAACAGGAAACTACCATATTTGAAAAAGCTTGGCTGATTGTTGGTGCAGCTCCATCTCATCCTTCCTCACCTTCTGCTAGTTCATCTGAGCCTTTGGTTTCGCTCTCCAGTTTCTCATTGCTCCCGTGCAGCTGGGAGAGGTTCCCAGGCACGGCTGTCCTATGCTACCACCAAAACCAGTTTCACCAGGGATACCACGTAAGCTGTCAGTCCTACAGATGTAGGGACCAGAGCCCAACAGTTTGACTTCCTCACATGGGTTTTAGCTTTTGGTTTCTTTGGGGTTTTTTGAGGTTTGTTTTTTTTTTAATAGTTTGGATTGGAAGGAACCTTACAGCCCATTCAGTTTCACCTCTGCCACGGGCAGGGACACCTTCCACTACCCCAGGTTGCTCCAAGCCCTGTCTAGCCTGCCCTTGGACATTTCCAGGGAAAACAGGGTAGCCACAGCTTCTCTGGGCAACCTGTGCCAAAGCCTACCACCCTCACAGGGAACAATTCCTTCCTAATATGTAATCTATTTGTTTCTCTGCATTGAGCAATCCTGTGAAGCCAACTACTTCTGTCTTGTCAGAGAACAAAAATGTCTTTCACACAAAACAAACAAACAAATAAAGCCCTGTAGAATCCATTAATAGGTTACTAAATAGAACATGCCTGCCCTCTCTGGTCCAGAGCTGAGGCTCCCAGAAGCTGTGTTGCTTTACTGGGTTTTCCCATTGCTTGCAGTATACTTGGAAGGATTCCTTGCACCCTGAGTGCAAAGGGGGTGGACCAGTACCGACCAAGGATATCCCCAAATTCAGGATAATACACACACACATCTGCTTACATAATGAATTGAATGGGCTTGGTTTACAGAACTGGACATTTGACCTGTGGCTCAGCTTGGGCGTGGGAGATACCAAAGTAACTATGAGCACCTCTCCCTTCTAGCAGTGGGTTTGTTCTGGTACTAATTGGAGTGCTGTTTGTACCTCAGATGCTGGTTGGAAATAGCTCTGGATAAGACACACTGGCAGTTGCGGGTAAGTAGGAAGCTGCAGCCAAGACTGGATGTCAGGAGAGGCCAGGAGGGAATGTCATAAAAACCGTGTGCTGTTTGGAGTGCTTTCATCCATGGGAATTCTTCAAGAGTTGGCTCATGAAGTGTTGCAGCTGTCCCACGCTGCTGGCAAGAGCAGCGTGGCCACGTGAAGTGTCCAGGCGATGGCTGCTGGGGAATTCCGTGTCTCTTCCTAACGGGACAGAGGAGGCTTTCAGCAGACACCACTGAAGCTTCATTTGGCACCTTACAAAGAGAAAACTTGAAAATCTGCCCCTACTGCTTTGTCCTGTTTCCACGCTGCTCTGCTGTCCTGGCTGTAAAAGGATGATAAGTCAGGGCTCTGCACAGCCTGGGAGCTGTTGGGAGCCACTCTGCAAACAGTTTTTGCTCCAAGAAAAGCCTGGCGCGCTGTATGAAGCCATTGTGCCACAGACCCCAGGGTCTCCATCAGCCAGATTTTCTAACTGCAGATTCCAAGTCATTCTTCTCACATTAAAAAGTTTTTGCCCCACAGGGAAGGGAACTTTAATCTTCTCAAACAGATCTACTTTTACAGGAAGCTATTTTAGGCATTGATTCTGTAACAGTGAAGTTACTGGACAAATGAAGAACATGGCATATGCTGTCGCTTGGAGCAATTTGCATTCCTCAGGTGCTAAAAGCTTTAAATACTTCCTTTGGGCATGAAATAGATCTGCTGCCAAAGAAGCCAGCATTCCTGAGAGTGCCTGTCCCACAGACTCCCACAGGGGAAAAGTCTGCAGAGCTGAACTAGTCTGACCCCAGGAAATCCTTCCCACAGCTCTCATTCTTCCTCAATTTCTCCTTTAAGTTTCATAATTTGCTGAAAGATCAGTTTAATGTTTGGTTATCTTCCTTTTCACGCACTTTCTTGGTCTTCCGCTTTTATATTAATACCACATTAAAGCTGGGACATGAACCATGCAAGTCAGGAAGTCCGAGATGCTCTTTCAAAGACACTCACTCAGTCAACATTGTTAATCATTTTTAAATGATTGTTGTCTTTGCTAATACACAAATGGCTCGTTTCAGACTAGAGCTAAACACATCTGTGCAGCCAGCAGGTAACATCCCTCCAGGGATTCCTCTCTTGTGAGCTCATTTTTAGCTATTTTAACTAAAACATCATACAGAGATCTCCAGTATCAATACCTTTATGATTTATTCATGTTTCCTTCCCTTCTTTTTTTTAACACCATTACAGTAGCAATGCTATCATGCTTTACAATGATTTAAGGGCTTTTCAATGCCTTCTTGAAGTTGCTTTGGGTTCCAAAGTCTATCAGCTGTTTTTTCACGGTCAAAAAGAATGAATATTGTGTAACAGACTCTGTGTTTGCTTCATTCATGGTTTGTTTGGGTATTTTTTTACACATTCTTATTAAACTGGAATAGTAACATTTGGAAATTCTGGGCTTCGTTCATGGTTTACAGGAATGTCAGAGTTTTTCATCTGCTCTATTCACATTTGAGTATGAATCCATGGTCAAATTAATTGGTTCCTATTTCTGTCTCCATAAGAACCTGTGGCTACTCATATTCCTGGCTGCACCTCCAAAACTGTCAATGTCCCCTAAAATTATAGTCAGTAATTTATCCTTCTCCCTTCCAAATTCACAAAAGGGGTAGAGACAGTAATTGCCTATTCTCTGCATCACTGGACCCTAGCTGGTGCTATCCTGGTGTATTTTATTACACAAATGGGAATAAATCCACTTGGATTCATCAGACTTTCCCTCATACCTTTTGTGCAAACACTTGTTTATGGACCAATGGCCCCAACTGCATGTCCCCAGAATGTTGTGAGGAAAAATCATATTTTGACCCCATTTTGACCATATGCTCCATCTGGATAAAAGCTGAAGCCAAGATTTTTTTCCTGCAGGCCAGATACTTGTTTGGAGAACTGAGGGAGTAATTAATGTAGCTCTCCATATAACCAGCTTGTGACCATGCATTGTTCATCAGAATGTGTGTTCATGCCTCTTTGGACAAGAATTGCAAAGTAATTTGGGTTGGAAGGGACCTTAAAGATCACTCAGTTCCATCTCCTCAAATAGGCAGGGGCACCTCACGTTATCTCAGTTCCTGTCCAGCCTGGCCTTGGACATTTCCAGGAATCCAGAGGCAGCCACAGCTTCTGTGGGCACCCTGTGCCAGGGCCTGCCCACCCTCACAGGGAACAATTCTTTCCCAAAGTCCCCCTCTGTCAGTTTGAAGCCATTCCCCCTTGTCCTGTCACTCCAGGCCCTTATCCAACTCTCCAGCTCTCTTGAAGGCCCTTTAGCCACTGGAAGGGGCTCTAAGGTCTCCGTGTACCTTCTCTAACCCAGGCGGAACACCTCCAATTCTCTTAGCCTTTGTATTGATGAATTAATGATTAACATCAAAGACCGGGGAGTGGATGCTGAAAACCAGCGAGAGTTCAAACGCTGGTTTTACAGAGGGTCTGTGCTCCAGAAAACAACACCCACGACGAGACACCGCTGAGGAAAAAGAAACTGTAAACTGCCGCCGCTGCGAACGCCGCGCTACCGGCGGCTCTTCCCCCTCACGGCCGCGCCTCTCCCACCCCCGGCCCGCCCCTCACGGCAGCTGCGGGGTTTCCGCGGGGCC